AAGATGAAGCTCATGAAAATGAAGAATATGAAGGAAGTGAATGCAGTGAATGTAACGAAATAGAAGACACACGAGTCCATGAAATAATGAGTCAAGCATCCGGGATATGGCAACAGTTGTCTTCTTCGCTTATTAAGTCACACGCATCAAAAAACGTCCCGGAAAATATCGAGGTTGCAGATGAAAATGAATATTGGCTCGACGATATCGATAGTGAAGACGAAAATTGTATAAAAAGTGACCTTCAATTGAAAAATGAGCTAGTCAATATTGAACGACTTAATTTTATAATGGACACTCTCGAAAACACCAAAAACGCCTATTTACACATGTCAACAATTCTCATTAAAGCAATAGACGAAGAAGTTGGGAGACGCGTTGGAAACAACAAATCATAACTTGCAAAAACAAAAAAGGGGTTTTAATTGTATTAATGGCATTAATTTTTTCACTCGAAGATTTTTCTTCTAACGAAATAACGAAAATATTAGAAGTGATTAAAATTATAACACTTGGTACTTCAATTGAAATGAATGTTTCCACAAAAACTATTGAAAGGCGCATGAAACTTATACATAAAGTTGACAAAAGACGTCTGCAAAATTTGGGTCAACTGAAAACACCCTTTCATTTAATCGCCGATTCACAAACTTACGATGGAGAGACTCACTATTCACTATATGCACGTTTTAGTTTTGACTTTTGCACAACAACTGAAGTAAAGATTAAAATTGGTAACTATTACGGCGAAGGTGATGCACACTCGTGGGTTGAGTGGATTCTTCGTGCACTGTATCATGCAAAACTCAGTTTACAACAACTCAAAGGAATTTCACTTGATGGTACCACATGTAACACAACGATCGGCGTGTTATTAAAAAGTCTTGTTCCAATTGAACATCGAAAGCGCTTTAAACGTAATTATTGTTTTGATCATAGACTGTCGAAGGCATGTGAAAAGGTTGTTGAAGTTAACGAAGGAAGTGTAATAAATCAATTCCTGAATGAAATAACAAATTCTAAATTCAGAAATGATTGGGTTGCTTTCAATAAACAAAACAAGACTGAAATGTGTGCCACCGAAATTCCTAGTACAAGTACAACACGGTTTCTTTTCACTTCATTTGTGACTTCAGCTATTTTTGAAAATTTTGAAAATTATCAACTTTTTTAAATAAAGAAAATTTCAATTTTGTACCTCAAAACGTATTTGAAAATAAATTTGGACGCGTTTCGTTAGATGACTCTTTATTCGTCGGAGCTCTGTATTTTATTGATTACCTGTTCGCGCCACTTAAAATTGTAAGTCAATGGCTTCAAGGAAGAGATGTAAAATTTCCAGTGGCATATCAGAGAATTTGTGATACAATAAAATATTATATAAATATAAAAACAAAATTGGATGACAAAAACGACAGTTTTTTCGGAATCATGTTATTTATCAGAGAAAATAACAGTGACAACATTGAAGTACTTAGAGGTATTTGTCACGATTTTGTTGTGAGGCTCATTCAAGAGTTGGTTGTGAGATTCGCAAATCCGTTACGTAAATCAACATGTTTTGAAATATTCGAAGAGTACCATCTCAAAGAATATGAACTAGAGATAGACACTTACCAAGATTTTGTTGATCTTCAACAGAGACTGGCGGACCCACAATTGTTAATGAAAATGAGATTCTACATGCTCGAAATGGACATACCACGTCTTGATGAGTACGACGATTTTGCAGATGAAGCAGAATTGATAATGGAGTGGTGTCATGATAATATAAACTCTGTTGATAAAATTAAAACCAAAATGGATTTAATTTATAAATCGCCTGAAATCAGATGCACAAAGGATCAAAAAGATATAATAGACACGGCTTTTCCAACTGGACATTTCAGCTCTGACTTACCAGGATCAGATGACGGTTCTTCGGCGACAGAAGGAAGTTTAGAAAGCAAAAAAATTCAAATTTTCAAACAAAGAAAATTGTATCGGAATGAAAAAGACAAAAATATAAATATATTTTTGGAACAATGTTCCGAAAATTATTTTACAGCACCAAATGTTTTGAATTTAATGGAGTCAAGAGTCGAGTTTCAAAGTTTTATTGGTTGCTGTATGGAGCTTAATTTGATAGCCGTAACAACATGTTCAGTCGAACGATCGTTTTCTCTAATTAAAAGAGCATCAAGACCAAATCGTAAAAATTATTCGAGAGAAATCAGAGTCGAGACAAAAGAAAGATTGTCTTTCTTAAACAGAAACACTTCGAGAGATCGATTTGTGCCTTCAGTTCAATGTCAACAATATACAGAAAGTGAATTGTGAATTTATTTCACTTAATATTTTTTATAATTGAAAACTGTTTATAAATTTAAATTTTTATAGTTTCAGTTTTTAATTTAAACTTAAAATAAAAATAAACAATTGATGATATATAATGTTATAGTTTTTGTTAATATATTTAATACATAAATAAATTATAATAATTAAATATTCAAGATATATTATAATATAATATATTTTTGTAAGTAAAATAATTATAAATAAAAACTTGCTATTGTGTTTATCAAAAATATTTAAATAAACTTTTGTTGAAACTGAAATAAAAAAATACATTTTTGTGTGAGTTTATAATAATAAGAGATAATATAAATATCATATGAAAAAATAAATAGTTCATTTTTGTTGACATTTAGAATAATCTGATTTATTTGTAATACAGTGTATTCAAGTTAAGCAACTACAAGTAAATAATTCGTGTATATACAACGATAAAATCAAAATTTTCACTTGCAAGAAATGATTGTTAGAGTTCTGAATACAATGAATAATACAATAGCGATATTTTTTGTGTTATATCAACAACATGTTTTTGTTTGTATTAATTAGATGTAACTAGACAACAAATAATGTAAGCACATTTGTTTTTATAATTGTTTTCAGAATCTTCAAATTGTCAAAAACAGCAATTACATTTGGATTTGACAAATACAAAAAATACAAACTTAACACAATTTAAGTTTCATCTGCTGCAACAACACGTTTTAAATTTAATTGTTTGTACAAAGTAAACGACATAAATAAATTAGCAATAGA